TCTGCTAGGTCAGTAGTTCAAACCCACCAACTGCTCTGAGGGACAAAAATGAAGCTGTCTGCTCCCATAAAGATGTATCATCTAGGAAACCCTATATAGTGTTTTTATGAGTTGGAATCTACTCGATGGCAGTGGGTTTATGGATAGGCTGTAACGGGTATGGCTCCCCTTAGACAAAAAAAAAAAAATTCCCCCTTTTGTTAATAGCTTTGAGATATGGAATCTAAAATGAGCATTTTTTATTCTCATCTCAGACTGATGGACCAGGAAATGGCAATGCGTAGTATAAAGAACACAGGGGTTATGGACTTTGCCCCCTCTTTTGTGATCTTAATTGTCACGGACTCTCTGACCTTATGAGGAACTGGAACCATTTTTGCCGGAAACCAATAACCAAAATGACACCTATGAACCACAATATTGTACTGACTGTGTTTAGGTGGAGATTGGGGAGCATTTGTTCTCCACTGAGCGATACAGGCCCCAGCCTATGAAGCCTTTCAGGCCCTTCTCGTCTTTGCAGTAGAACTGGTGACCAGTATGTCTTGGCTTGTAAGATTTCAACGGAGAATCAAGATTCTGGTTTGAAAGCACCTGCTACTTCAGCATAGAGATCTCTCAGTTCTGGTTGAAAATTAGAGTCTTGGAAAATGGGATCTACATGGTCACCATCTATCTCATTATATCTTAACAGACTTTATAAGGTCCATATGAGATCTATCCATAGGAAATAACTCAAAAATAGTAATATTAAAAAACAAACAAACACTTGATAGGGTGCATAGGAAGCAGAAACCAAGACTCGCTCCATTTCCCACCTACCGCAATGCGCAGCCTAACACAAACGTAATTGCATCACTGGAAAGTATCTCTATGTAGGTACTACTGATGATCAGGGAATTGTGAACTCACTGGGAAATGATTAGCCCAGAGCAGGAGGTCTGGTTGTTGATTAAACTGCTACTCAGTTTAGGGGACACAAGGCTGGATCGACAGAAGTGAGGCAACGACCAAGCAACAGAGAATGTGCTGGGAGTCTCTGTCACACTCAGCAGATAGGTAAGCAAAGTCAGTCCACAGAGGTCTTCAGAAGACAAACATCACAAATTTGTTTCTGGAGATTTAAAAAGTAACATACCAGTGTTACCAGACTGCAATGGACCTACCCCCTCAGAGGCAGGGTGGAGAGAATGTTTTGTTCCAGCACACTAATGATAAACACGAAGGCCAGGTACTGCGTTATTACACGGGAAGGTTAGAGGCGGACAGGTTTATTGGTAATGTTTTTGTCTTACTTATTTTAATGAAGTCCTATTTGACCTAACTTTTTTAGTGCTTCCCAGACACCGCCGACTAAAGCATAGTTTACTGGATATCTTAAAAAAAAAAGAACATGTTACTTTAGCAGGGTTATTGTCACTACAATCCTTGTATCCTTTCTCAACCCCCCAAATCCTTGTCAAGGTCTGCGATCTCCTGGTGCTGAAGCTCATCAGCCAACCAGCAAATCTTCACAGCACATTGAGCTCATGAGCACTGTTTCAGTACACAGACCCCCCCATGAGAAAAGAACTTGCATCTGATCTAGGCCACCCTCACTTATATCCATATCCATCTAGTTACAGCCTTGGGTCTCCTCCCTGATACACAGTCCGAGTCTTCGAAGCAGTCATTCCGTCCTTAATCACACACACTCCCTTGTAGATACCTTATTCAACCCTCCCAAATTGCAATCTTCTCTTCAAATTGTAATAACTCGTGAAAAAAATTTCTGATGTAGTTTGTGGCTTGGCCTTAATGCTCTTCATTGTCATTGCTAACCAAGTCCCATCGAGTGCTCAAGTGTTTCTGCATGTTTAAGACGGAAGGGAGGCTTCAGGCTTACATCCTGTTACCAAGAGTGACCGACAAAGGATCTTGTGGTCTGAATAAGAGAGGATACAGAGGGGCCTCTGATTCTGGGGCGGTTTTGAGGTAACTTACAAATATGACAAGGTAATATTTATGTTAATACCTCACTGCTAGCAGTATTTAAGGTTTAAGTCTTGGAAAGGATATTTTCATTCAAAATAGATGATGTCTCTTTTTTTTAAACTTTGTATTGTGAAAATATTCTCCATGACAACACATCTGCTCATTCTTCTAGGGTGGCAAGGAGTGTTCTACAAGAATTTTATTGAAATAAAAAATCCTATCAATGTGAATGAGGGGGAGGGCGGGGTGCAGACCCAAAGCCCATCTGTAAATATTTGGACACCCACCGCCTTACAGAAGGGTCATAAGGAATTGATGAGCCAGTCAGGGTGCAGTATAGCACTGATGAAACATACAACTTTCCTCTAATTCTTTAATAGTTCCTCCCCTACTAGCATGACCCCAATTCTACCTTACAAAATCCAGGTAGACCAGAGCACATACACTGGTACAGATCAGAGCTCCCAACACAGGGAATCCAGGATAGATAAACCTCTCGGGACCAATAATTAAGGTAGTGATACCAGGAGGGGAAGGGGAAGGTGTGGTGGGGGGAAGGGGGGAACCAATCACAATGATCTACATATAACCCCCTCCCAGACAACAGAAAAGTGGGTGAAGAGAGATAGTGGTAGGTGTGAGACATGAAAAAAAAAATGATCAAGGGTTCATGAGGGAGGTGGGGCGGGCAGGGAGGGGAAAAAATGAGCTGATACCAAGGGCTCAAGTAGAAAGCAAATGTTTTGAGGATGAGGGCAACAAATGTACAAATGTGCTTGACACATAATGGATGGATGCATGGATTGTGATGAGTTGTATGAGCCCCCAATAAAATGATTAAAAAATAATAATAATTTATAAATTATCAAGGGTTCATGAAGGAAGGGGAGAAATGTGCTGATACCAAGGGCTCAAGTAGAAAGCAAATGTTTTGAGAATGATGATGGCAACATATGTATAAATGTGCTTGACACAATGGATGGATGGATGGATTGTGATGAGTTGTACAAGCACCCAATAAAATGATTTTTTTTTAAAGTTCATTGAGAAACCATCCAACATACCCTGATCCTGTCCCTTCTGACATTGTTTTGTTCCTCAAACTCAAAAGAACATTTAAGAGAATATGATTTGAGTCCCAGGAGGGTGCCACACTGCCATCTGGACATGATCTACATCAAAGAAAGCAATGGAAATTCTGCCTTCAGAGACGTTAGTCCTGGATGAAGGAAGGATATGTCTAGAAATGATAGTTTCACTTTTATGAATCCGTTAAAACCACAGAAGAGATGATTTATTATTCACATGTTACATTCAGCCACAACTGAGAACAGGACGGGTCCAGAAAGTCAGAGGTCCAGGGCAAAGAATCAAATGGTCTGATTTGGTATGAGCAGGTGGGCCCCTCTTGGCTGTTCATGGTGATTAAGTGGCAATGGATTTAGAGATCTACTGAGATGGACGTTCTAGGCAATAGCATGTAGTTAGCATCTCAGCCTCCAGCATTCTGTATTCCAGCTGCTGTGGTTTTTGGGGGTGCACATGCTGGAGTGTGGGGCTCTTTCTTCCTTTACCCTTCAGCTCGGCATCCACTTCCTCCACGTGACTCTCATGGCTCAGAGGTTTCTAACAAGATGGTACTTAGGCTGGGAGAGCTTTATATTTTTGTTTATTGAAGGTGTCCACGATTGTTCTCAGGAGAGATCAGCCCCCAGAAAAGGACTTAATCATGCTTAATCAAGTAGAAGGGCATCAAAAAAGAGGAAGTCGCTCCATGAGATGGATTGGCACAGTGGCTACAACAAGGGCCTCACATAGAACAATCGTGGGGCTGGCACGGGACCAGGTGCTATTTCATTCTGCTGTACATTGTTTGACATTGTGTCGCTATGATTCAGAACTGGATTGGTGGCACCTAACAACTATAATTTATTTTGTAGCACTACTTTTTGACTTACCCATATATTTCCCTTCCTGATAAGTTTTCTGTGCTTTTTTTTTTTTTTAAGGTGAGAAGTGGGCAGTGGGGGTGGGAGGAAAACTAACCACTGACTGTGAAGGTTGGACACTGACTAAGGAAGACCGAAGAAGAAGTGATGCCTTTGAATTCTGGTGCTGGCAAAGGCATGGACAGCACCGCGGACTGTCAGAAGAACCAGTACATCCGTCTTAGAAGTATAACCAGAATGCTCTTCAGGAGCAAGGCGAGCGAGCGAGTCTTCATCGCACGTACTTTGGACATGTTCTCAGGAGAGACCAGTCCCTGGACAAGGACATCATGAGAGAGGCAACCCATCAGCAAGATAAATGAACAAAGCGGCTGCAACAGGGGCTCAAGCATAATCACCATCAGTAGGATGGTGCAGGACTGGGCAGCGTTTCATTCTGCTGGAGACGGTGTTGCTGTGCGCGAGAACTGGCATCTAACAAGTCTCCCAAAGCGATGATCTGAAAGAACCAGGATCCTAAGGCATCTGGCCTCAAGAAATACCCGAAACTTTTGCTTCTAGGAAGCAGCCCTTTAGGCCCTGAAGATTTTCTACCCACAGGGCTGCTTCTCATTTGACAGTCATTTCCGAAGGATCCGAGGACATTTGGTCCCGTGGGACCCTCAGGAACAAGTCTTCTTTGGCCTAGATGTTATGGGGAGGGGCGGATGTCAGGCATTCTCCCTCACAGTGTTGTTAGCCCAGGCCCCTTGTTCACCCTCAGTAGGACAGCTTCATTTGAGTTTCGGTTCCTTTTTCCTTGTCCTGCTCAGAAATGGTGAAAGTGTGCTCCATGAAGAATGTGGAAGAGGCACAGCAGGAAGTGGGGAGGGAGGGAGGGACGGAGGGAGGGAGGGAGACCATCTCATCAGGACAAGATGCTGGGCTTTAGACAACCCGGTAGGTACTGCAGTTTAGATCCCTAGAGGAATTTAGGGTTTCTTCCTATTTGAGCTAGACCAGGCGTCGGCAAACTGTGGCTCTTTCTGTACGTGTAGCTCCGAAGTAAAATTGAAAATGAAAATAGAACTGTCATAGTTTCATGTATAACATTTTTAAAGGACGTTATTCAGGTCATGGTGATTTCAGTTGTAAAAATATACTTACGGCTCTCGGATCATTTTTAACTTGTTGTGAGGGACAGGATTGGCTCTTCCCTCTCAAAAGTTTGCCGACCCCTGATCCAGAACAAGGCTGAGCTAGAGCGTCTCCAGACCTGAAATCCTGGCCCCCCAGGAATACCTCAGACCAACTCTCTCCAGGGTGGGGTTCCTATCAGGCGTCTTTTTCTCAGTGGCAAATGAACCAGATGGCCTATTGTGTCCTTAATGGCCTAATCTAAACCAGACGGTGTGGATCAGTCTGCACACTACGTCTTACTTCATTCTAGGGTTCAGCACTCTGCCCCCTAAAACCAAACACCCACTTAGCTGCCGAGTGGCCAGACAGACCCAGGATGAAGGTTTTCTGCATTTCACGGATGGCCTTTTGAATAATTGAGCAGAAAAAGCACGGCCGTGTGAAATATTCATAAATCACTGAGTTAGTGCTAGTCAACCTCCCATGGCGTTTGTTTTTTCCCTCTGGTCCCAGATGTCGCTCCTGGCTCTGGGAAGTTGGACGCTAGTAGCACTGACAGAAAGGGCGACTACTGACCAGAAAACACCCAAGTGAGAAGGTTTGTACTTTTCACGGAGAAAAACAGTCTGGCTAGAGCGGGACTTGACAACACGGAGCCAGAGGGAACATCTCAAATGGTTGGGAATCTGACTGCTTGAGGCATGACCTCGCAGGGCCCTTAGACCTTGCCTGGGAGGGCTTCGCATTCCTAGAATCACTCTTGGGATCTCTCCAGGAAGGCTCCAGGTCCCCACAGAGGCTTGCAGCTCGCCCCTGAGAGACTGCATCTTGATGTTCTAGAGCGAGGCGTTCACGGTCCACCCCGTTCGCCTCCACCAGCCCCACACAGCACCCTCTGCCTGACAACTTTTCATGCACAAGACAGCAGCAGCCCAGCAGCTCCGAGAGCCTGCGTCCATCCCCAGAGCAGCGTGCCACAACTGCTGAGTGAGAGGAGGGAAGTGGGACCGAGACACAAACATCCTGTCCTTGCTCCGTGGTCACAGGGCTGGTTATTTATGTGGGACAGAGCTGCCCCCGGCAACATGCGTCCACTGCTCCTCTCTGCGGATGCTGCTGCTGTGTCCTTGTATGCCCAATGTCCTGCGTCCTTGTATGTCCAATGGTGCCCGTCCTGGGCCTCGGAGGAGGAGTGTGTTGACCAGGGCATGGCGTGGGCAGGGAATCCGCTCGGGGAAACGGAGCTCCATCTGGCTGCAGGTGCCATCTCTCCCATCTTCCCAGGACTGGTCCTCCTGGCGGGGCTCACCTGGTATAGGATCGCTTCCAGCTGAAGAGCTCCAGACTGGAGGCGGGCGAGGCTTCGCGCTTCTGCAGGCTGCCCCAGCGACGCCGGCCCCCCAGGAAGGACGCCCGGCGCCTGCTCAGGCCCTTCATCCTCTCTTCCATGCGGAAGAACTCAGTCAGGTCCCGGAAGTACTCCAGGACGACCTCGTGGCTCCAGGCTGGCAAGGGCTCCGGGCGCAGGAAGCCGCAGTGGCCGCCGTGGCGACTGAGCAGGAGGAAGAAGTAGGGGTTGCTGCGGAAGAGCTCGGTGGGCAGCGTGCGGTCTGGGGGCCCGCGCACGGGGTCGTCGGCGCTGCAAATGCACAGCACGGGCACGGCGGCCTCGTCCACATCCCGGAGGGGGTCGTTGTGATCCCAGTAGGTGTCCCAGCTGATGGGGAAACTCTTGGTGTGGCAGAAGAGGGTCTCCTCAAACTCCCGCAGGGAGCGGCTCCGGAACAGTTTGCCCATGTCCACGGTGTCCTCCAGGGCGGTGGCATACCTGCCGCAAGGAGGTCATTGGGGGAGGGGGGGAGGAGGGGGAGAGAAGAGAAGGAAGAATCAGGAAACAAAAGGAGGACCCTGCTGCAGCCCACGGGCCCAATTCTGGCCGCAGATGCTTTGACAACCTAGTGCCTTAAAAAAAACATTTTTTAAAATCCATTTCTTTACCCTCAGGCCTGTCACTGGAGATGTGACCTGTCCCACCCTAGGAGGACTTCTACAGCTGCTGAAGACAAGTGGGGAAGGGAATTCTCCTTCTAAGGAACTCACTGGCTCCAGCTAGCCAAACGCATTCCCAACCATAAGACTTTACTTGGAGTGGTTGTGTTGCTGATAATGTTCTTTTCTTTCTTTTTTAAAGCTAATATGCTGTCTCAATGATGACAAATGAGTTTGACCTTGATTGGTGAGACTCAGATTCTTGGAATGTGCCAGGTAGGAGAGGAATCAGAAAAAAACAAAAACAAAACAAGAAAACACTGTCAGTCGATTCTGACACTATAGGGCAGCCTAGAACTGGCCCTGTGGGTGTCCAGCACTGTAAATCCTTATGGGACTAAACACCTCATCTTTCTCAGCAGACCTGCGGGTGGTTTTGAACTGCTGACCTTGCAGGTAGCAGCCCAAGGTATAACCTACTATGCCACCAGAACCCCCTAGAAGAATGAGTGGGAGTTTCATGAAGTTACAGGGCAGGTTGGCTGGGGGCTTGAGAGAAGAGGGGCATCTCTGCTGACCAGGATGCCAAGTTGGGCAGCCTGGTCCTTAAGGTGAATCAGTCTGGCCCCAGCCAGCTGTGTATGTACACAGCCACTCAAATAGGCTTGCTGGGGAGTTCTCAATCCCAAGCTTTCATGGGCAGAGCCGCTCCTAAAGGGCCAGGTTTCCGCTCCGCTTCCCTAACCTCAGGCTGGTTTTGGGGTGGAAACTATGGCAATTAAGCCACCCGAGAGAGCACCTTGCCCCTGGATTGCGCCAGCGCAGGGTTACTATGGCAGCGCTTCTGGGCTAGCTGTTGTTGTGCTCTGGCTTTGACCTTCTCAGAATAGGAAACAAAGTGGGGAGAGGGAAGAGAAACAAGTCACAATTATTGCCATTTATCGTGCACCTCTCTGGGCCCAGCCTTTCCCTTTTGTTAGCTGGTGGGATGCCCAGTCACCGTGGAGGTGGCGAAGAGGAACAGCTCATACCTGGAGCAGGAATCCAGGCTCAGGGGATTAGCCAGCCTGCTGGGAATTCAGATTTTGAATCCAGGTCGGTGTGACCCCCATAGCCCAGATCTCTCTGCTCTACCACCCAGCTGTGCTAACGTCTGAGGCCTCCTTGGGCCACCTCCCAGGGAAGCTATAGCGCCCACAGGCTGTCTGCTATAGGACTTGCCAGTCAGCAGGCCCTCTCTGCGGGTAAGTCTCACCCACCATTCTAGTCATTTGCTTTGACATCATATTTTTAAAATCATTTTGGCATTGACGATATTGACTACATACATGCCTACAAACACGTAAAACGTCGTCCAGGGCTAAAAAACGATACATCAAATGCCTGGATGAACAATCTGGAGGAGAAAACAACAGGATCTACGCTTCCGGAGGGGCATGGAAGGGGGGGGGGCGAGAAGGGGTGTTAATACATCATATGCCAACATCTTTCTGATTCCTGTCACTTCCAGCCTCCGAGGCTACAAGAAAACACCGTGGACAGATAATCGGTGGCAATTGCTTCCAGAGCCCTCTGTGCCACCAGCTAAGTGGGAAATGTCACACAGGTGCTGCCTGGGCTGCTGCGGGTGGGGCCGCCGGCGCCCGGTTGCTAGGACACCGTGGGGCTGAGGCGAGGCGAGGGGCCCCTGGACAGGGGTGGACCTGCCTGTTCCCATCTATAGTTTTTTAACCCTTTCCCCTGATTCTGTCTAGGCCCCTAGGCCTGTCTAGGGGTTGTGGGCCTTCACAAGCAGGGTAAGAGAGAACCCGGCCCAAATTGGCCAAAACCTGTTGGAGTCCACACCAGGCCGAGCTGGTTCTCCGTCTGGTCCGTCGGCCCTTCCCCGCAGGACCCACCTGCTGAGGGCGATCTTCTGGTGGAGCAGGAAGCCCCGTTCGTAGGCCCAGGGCAGGCCGGCCTCGAACCACTCCCGGCAGCGGAGCACGGGCGAGATGCAGGCGGCGCCGGTCACGTAGCTCGAGGAGCCGCACTCGCCCAGGTAGGAGAGCAGCAGCACCGAGCCCGAGCCCTCGCTCACCGCGAACAGCGGGGCCGAGGGGTGTCTGAAGCGGATGTAAGTGACCGCCTCCTTGAGGTCAGACGGATCCCCAATAGGCTGTAGCCGGGGGGTGGCGAGCGGGCAGCCGTGGTGGCCGCGGCGGTGGAAGATGACCGGGTAGTAGCCGCGCTCCAGGGCCAGCAGGCAGAGGCCAAGCACGTTGCGGGTGAGGCGGCCCCACGCATTGGGGATCACCAGCAGCACCGCCGGGAGGGCCCCGGAGCTGGTGACCCGGCGGCCTCGGGGACAGGGTCCCACGACCCAGTCTAGGGCTACCAGTCCGTCGTCCGTCAACTGCAGGTGCTCCCGGGCCAGTTCTGGGCCCGCGCCCACCGGCAAGACGAAGTGGCAGAGGGTCTGCAGGTGGGGCCCGGAGAGCCAGGAGCGCGGGCCCGTCTCCAGCGCCGCGGAGCGGCGCAAAGCGCGCAGCAGGCACTGCGCCAGCGCCGACGGCTTGCAGATCAGCCGGCACCCTCCGGGGAGCGGCTCCCGCCGGGCGCGGAGCGGGTCCGCGGGGCCTCCGCCCGCCCCCTCCTCCCCGCAGTCGTCCCGGCTCCGGGCTGCTCGCTGCGTCTCCGCTCCGACGGCGCGCTTCTGGCGGCGCCCTCGTCGGCGAGCCCACAGTCCTAGGAGGACCAGCGCGGCCAGCAGCAGGGCCAGGGCGGCTCCCCACGGGGACATGGTGAGGCGGGCGAGCCCCCGGCGGCAGGCGGCCAGCCGTTCCCTCCGAGAGCTCCCCTCTCTGCCCGCGGCTCCGCCCGGCGACCGGCTACCCTGGGCCTTCCCGCGCCGAGTGGGGGCGGGGCGCGGGGGGGTCTGCCCGGGGGGACGCGCTCCGGATTGGCCCGGGTCCCGCCGAGGCAGCCAGTTCGGGCCCGGCTCCCCTCTCCCGCCCCCACGGCCCTTTGTACAGCGATTGCGACAAGCAGGAGCACAGGGCGAAAGGAGCCAGGACCGCCGCGGGGGAGCCAGGGCGCGGGGCGAGGACAGCGGCGAGCCGCCGGAAGAGGGTGGGGAGAGCAGCGAGTCGAGAAGGGTGACGGACGCAGAGAAGTGGGGAGACACGCAGACAGAGGCTTGGAGGGTGGGGGGTTCGCATCAGAAAGCCCCCGGCCCTCCGAGGTCCGGAAACTCCGGGCACAGGCTCCCAGCCTCCCGCGCAGCGGCTGCAGTGGCAGCGGAGGCTTCAGCCGCGCGTCCTTCCCCCGGGACGGCAGTGCTCTCTGACCTCGGTGTTTGTCGCGGGCAACCCAACTGCGTAATCGCCTGGCGGGACCGGGGTCCGCCTCTGGGTCCGCCAGGGCGATGGGCAGGCCACCGGCCCCGACCCGGGTTTGCGGCGGGATGTTGGGGCGCAGGGGGGTTGCTAGTCCCTCCGTGCTGCGTCCCGCCGACCCCACTAGTGAGCGCGGCGGCGGGGGGTTCTCCCGAGACCCTGTCTTCCCCAAATGAAGTGCTCCACGGGGTCCCCAGGAAGGGCTTCCCCAGAAGCAGCAGCCCCACGTCTCCCTCAGGTGCCCGGTCCCCGCTGCGATAGGGCCTTGGCGGGGGTCGACTGGCCAATACTTGGGAGGCGGGTAAGAAGCCCCTTGTAAGTCACGGCTATGGGACAGGGGACGCGCTCACTCGATTTCGAAGTGTCGGACTGGGTATCTGGATTTTGCAATCCTCGCTCTTGACCCACGTTCCCGTCTTCCCTCCAAATTCAGAACCAGGCCAGGGAGAAAGGGTTGGCGGAGAGGGCGGCAGAGCCCGCGCCCGCTGCAGGGCGGTGCCGCCCGCCTTCCCCTCGGGGGCGAGACCTAAGGCTGCTCCGTCCCACGGTGCCCAAAGGCTTCCTGGGCGCCCCAGTCCTCGGGGGCAGAAGATGAGGGCCAGGGTGGAGGTGGGGAACAAAGCAACTCCAGGGTTCTAGGCCTGCGGAGGCCGCTCCGGGCTCCGACCCGCTTTGCGGGGGCCGGAATGGGATGGGCAGCAGACGGAGCGCTCTACTTCTCCGCAGCCTGGGCTTGGGGGACCTGTCCCTCTTCTCGCGGCCGGCCACACCAGCGATTCTGAAATGGGCTTGCCCCGGGGCGCGTGCCCGTCTCCTTCTCCCGGGCCGCACAGTCTGCGGGGACCCCATTTCCCGCCCTACCCCGCAGCGG